GTTAAAATCATAATAAAAAAATTTAAAAAAATTGTCAGGTAGAGGTAGAGACTGGTTTTAGGAAATGAAATGTGAGGTCAAGACATTTACCTCTTCTTTTTTGTTTTAACAAAGTAGTTATAGCTATTAATGTTTCATAATAAAGCCCCTTCCCCTTTATTGCGAAGATTAGGCTCCAAAACCCAAGTTGTACTGTGAAAATCATTCTTATGTGGAAATGGAGGATTCCTGAATCAGATCACATAGTTGAGTAACATCATTACATAACTGCTAAATTGCATTGTTATGCAACTGTCAAACCACTGAAAAACTCAGCCAAGTTGGCAAATAACCTTAGCCACCATAACCCACCTACCCTTGCCTCACAGCTTTGTAGTGAACTCCAAATACATTTTGTTCATTAGAAAATTTGATATCTGTGGTGACACAGCCTTTAATGAGGTACTTTACTATCCAAAGGCCCATTTCCTGAGCTTTGAATCCACCAGTGGCTATGCACGAGAAAGGTAGACAGCCTCCTCCCACCTGGAGGTATAGCCTCCAAAGCCTAAAGGAGTCAGAACTAACTTGATGATCAAGAATGAGTGAGCTACAGACAGGATGAAGTAGTTGCTGAGTAGCTTTTGTAGTGTTATTGTTATCTGAGATATCATAGAACAAGATAATTGATTAGTGAGGAAAAGTCAGATAATTAATACTGCTCCCTTCTGTCACAGGTATAGTTCAAATAGCATCCTCAGACCCCTGTAACAGAATGTTGAGCAGAATTTACTATTATCTGACAAACATTTGTGCTCTAGAAAAGATCCAAACTTCAAGCATCACGATAGAAAAGAAGTGAAACAAGAACAAATTATATGAATGAATAGACCACTGCCAGTTTACTAAGTCATAAATAAGTAGCCTGTTAGCAGTCCTGAGGCCTGAATCGTGGATGTAGGCAGATAGCTCACTCACTCACTTTCATTACCATCAAGCTGGAATTGGCTCACAGCTAAGCTTCCAGCAGGTCTTGAGAAGCTGTGAACTGTACAGAAAGAGGATGCTTATCTTTAATCCTAGAAGCAGGTGGTGGATTCAAACTGCTTGCCCTGGGGTTGATAGCACAACTCCTTATCTACTAGGCCACAAGAGCTCCATGCAGATAACATATTTTGCAAAAATTCTAAAAAGCAGCCTCCTCGTGAATCTTATAGTCTCTTTGGTGACATGAGCTCTTACCTCATCCTGTCTGTGAAACATGCTCTGAGACTTCTCGTACTCTTTCCCCATAAAGTAAAGAGCTATAGTGCTCCTCCTGCTATGGCTAGTCCTCTAAAGCAGAATCTACTCTCAAAGGATGAAACAAACACACAAATAAAAACAACCCAAGCCCACCACTGTTGAATGGCTTCCAACTCCTGACAGTCAATGTGTTACAGAAAAGAACTGCATTACGGTTACACTGAAAGACTATTACAGCTTCTGCCATTAAGCTATATACCTAGGGATGGTGATGGTAAATAAAGTGTTTTCTAGAATTATACAGCTATAATAGGGGGTGAGGGATTTAAAACTTAAATACAACTAAATATTTCATGGGATTTTTATTGTTCTTGTGTGACTCTGAGTTGGATACAACTCATAGTTGACCCTCCAATGGGTTTCAGAGGCAGTTAATCTCACAAGAGGAGATTGCCCATCCTTCTCCTACAGAGCAACTGGTGGATTGGGGCCAGTCCTTGGACAAGGACGTCATGCTCAGAAGGCTGTAGAAACAGCACAAAAAAGGAAGACCCCAATGAGATGGATTGATACAGTAGCTGGGGCAAAGGGGATAGGTTTGTTGGAGTCAGTGAGACTGGCTCAGGATAGGGCAGGCTTCAGAGCTGTTGAACATCAGGTCTCTGATTCGCATGCAACTGGAAAGCACATCACAACAACATCCACCACCTTTGGGATATCAGTGCAGCTCCTTACCACTAGTTTTCTTTAGGATTATGGATCCAATCAGTTACCTAAACTTTCTTTTCAGAGTTTCTGTTCTGACTCAGTGAAAATACTTTCTGTTGTTTTGTGCCACCAACACTTAATTAACTCATAGCTGACTCCCTAGTGAGCTTTCAGAGTATGTGCGCCAGGGATGTGTCCTATCTCCATACCTTTTCAATCTATATGCAGAACAGGTTATCTGGGAAGCTGGGTTCTAGGAGAGGAAATGTGGTATCAGGATTGGAGGAAGACTCATCAACAATCTGCATTATGCAAATGGCAAACCACTGCTTGCTGAAACTGAGGAGGACCTGAAGTGCTTGCTGCAGAAAGTCAAGGACTGAAGCCTTAAATAAGAATTGAAGCTCAACATCAAGAAAACAAAGATTCTCACCACTGAGCCAACTGGCAGCATCCTGATAGATGGTGAACAGATTGAGATTGTTATCAGCTTTAGTTTGCTTGGCTCTACAATCAACACTCTTGGCACCATCAGTCAAGAAATTAAAGACATTATTGCATTGGGAAAGTCTGTAGTCAGAGACCTCTCCAAAGTACTGAAGAGCAACGATGTCAGTCTGGAGACTAAGGTTGTTGTTGTGTTGTTAAGTGCCATCAAGTCATAGACAACTCATAGTGACCCTATGAACGAAATCAGAAAAAAAGATGCAATCTGTTTCTTTGCAAACACTTGCTATGTGTCAGAGAGCTGGACAATGACTAGGGATGATAGAAAGAATTGATGCCTTTGGGCTATGATGTTGGAGAAAAATATTGAATATACCATAGATTGCTGTCTTTAGGGACCTCTCTAAAGTGCTCAAGAGCAACGGTGTCTCTCTAGAGACTAAGGTGTGCCTGATATAGGCCATGGTCTTTGCAATCACTTGTTATGCATCAGAGAGTTGGACAATGACTAGGGAGGATAGAAGGAGAATTGATGCCTTTGAGCTGTGGTGCTGGAGAAGAGTATTGAATGTACCATGAACTGCCAAGAAAACAAGCAGATTCATCCTGGAGAGGGTTAAACCAGGCTACTCCTTGGAGGCAAGGATTCTGGGGCTTCATCTGACATAATTTGGACATGTTGTAAGGAGAGACAGGTCCTTGGAGAGGGACATCGTGCTTGATAGGGTGGAGGACAGCGCAGGAGGGGAAGGCCCTCTATGAGGTGAATTGATTCAGTGACTGGGGTAATCAGGATGGGTGTGTCAGAGGCAGTGCGATTGGCACAGGACAGAGCAGGGTTTAGGGCTGTTGTACATCGGGTCCCTATGAGTCGCAAACGACTCGACGACACATAACAACAACAGCAACAACAACCATAGACTGCTAGGAGAACAAACAGGTTTGTCTTGGAGCGGTTGAGACCAGGCTACTCCTTGGAGGCAAGGATTCTGAACTTCATTTGACATACTTTGGACAAGTTGCAAGGAGGGATCAGTCCTTGGAGAGGGACATCATGCTTGGGAGGGTGGAGGGACAGTGCAGGAGAGGAAGATCCTAGATGAGATGGATTGATTCAGTGACTGGGGTAATGGAAGTAGGTTAATCAGAGACAGTGAGGTTGGCACAGGATAGAACAAGAGTTTAGGGCTATTATGCATTGGGTCCCTGTGAGTCAAAGGTGACTAGATGGCACATAACAACAACAAATCACACAAGAGGAAATTGCCCATCTTTGGTACAACTGCTGAACTTGCATTGCCTGCCTTTGGGTTAGCAGTGCAAGTCTTTTTCCCATGCTCCCTTATGTAGTGTCTGTTGCTGTTGTTATGTGCTGTTTAGCCACTTGCGACTCATACCGACCCTATGTACAACAGCCCTAAACCCTGCTCTATCCTGTGCCAATCGCACTGCCTCTGACACACCCATCCTGATTATCCTAGTCACTGAATCAATCCACCTCATAGAGGGTCGTCCCCTCCTGTACCGTCCCTCCACCCTCCCAAGCATGATGTCCCTCTTCAAGGACCAGTCTCTCCTTACAACATGTCCAAAGTATGTCAGATGAAGCCCCAGAATCCTTGCCTCCAAGCAAACTAAGGCTGTGAGCAATCTCAGGCTCTTCACCATCCATCCTGATGCTGCCAATTGGTCCAGTGATGAGAATCTTGAGTAGTATCAAGAGTATTAAATTTTACTGAAGGCAATGAAACCTGCAATCCATTTCCTTCTTCAATTCCTGCATCTCCTTCTTCCTTTGCTCTTTGAGGAGAATAGAAACCAACTGTTGCACATCAGGGAAACTACTTACAAGCTCCTCCCCCCCCCATTTTTATTGTCATTCACATTGTGTTTCAGGTGATCACTCCCAAAAAAGTTTTTAAGAGTAATGACCAGGATCTTAATAGCTTGAAAGCAACCACCTGGCAGTTGGTATACATTTTACTAGAACAGCAGGAGAAGGAGAGGCTGGAATTGTAGGGGGAAATGATTGCAAGTTTCATTGCTTTTATAAAATGCTATCTCTATTACTATGAAATCCAAAGAATTAGATAGTACCTGACTATAATAATTAAATATTTTGAACAAAGACACAGTAGATAGCTACTGACATAAAGGAGAAAAGTCTGACAACAAATTTCATACTTATGTGGAAAAAAGATATACTGGCTCCAATGAGAGTAGGTGAACTTGGAAATCTAATACCTGGAAATAAACGTTAAACCTTGGACCAAAGTGCCTTCCTGACATTACCATTAAACTAAGCAACACTTTAGCACAATTCAGAACAAATGTGGATCTCAAAGATAGCACTCCTAAACAAATTGCTTATATTTGTTGTAAACAGAAAACTGACAAAAATTTCAAGGGACAGAGCATCAAGAAACATCATAGGCATAAGCAGAACAGTGACAGTATGAAATATACAATTAATACTTAAAATATTCATGTAGAAATTTTGGTTGCATGAATGTTTGTTTCTGTATAGTTCCATCTATAGATGATGAAAAATGAAAATATTATATTATTATTATTTCTTTTTGTATAATTTCTTAAGAAATTATTTGTTTTCCTCCAAACAGTCTTAAAACCCGTAGACCTGAAATTATGCACTGGTCCAGTCCCCAATACTACACAACTGTGCCACATTCCATGCCCCATTGAGTGTGAAGTTTCACCTTGGTCAGCTTGGGGACCCTGTACTTATGAAAACTGTAATGACCAACAAGGCAAAAAAGGTATGTTAAAAGCATTAGTTATGTAAAAATACTGCTCTATATTTTTTGATTGTATGTTTGTGATCATTTCCAGACCACTTAAAGAGTATTTATTGTTAAGGATAAATAAACCTATTTCTATAATGGTATTAAAAGATAAATACTGAAGGGCAAACACAAGACCCTTGTTAACTTTGGTCAAGGGATAGAGAATCTCTTAGTTTAGTGCAGTGGTTAAGATTAACTGTGCTGTCAGGCTGACCTCAATTTAAAAAATCAACTTTTCCCCTAGGCTCAGATAAGCTAATTGCTTTATTTATATATTTGCCCCCTTATCTCTTTAAGTGAGCCCCAATATCCTAATCTGTGAGAAGGAGTTGTACTGCTAACCTAACGGCCACCAGCAGCTCTGCTGGGTTGGTCTGTATGATTTAAGACTCCCCAAACCTGCTAGAGGTGAGTGATGAGTTGATTCAACTCCACGGGGCTTTCTGAATTGTTTTTTTAAAAAAATCTGTGTATCATTGTTGTTGTTAGTATATCAATGTTTGTCGGTGCTGATATGACTCAAAAAGATCTGAACCTTGCCCTATCCTGTGCCATCCTCATGATCTCTGAGACATAATATTTTTCATCCACATTTGCCTTAAAGATTAAATGAGATAATATGCTTGAAGTATTTCATTCCATTTCAAGAACCCAATAAGCAGTACTCATTACTTTGAAGGCAAATAATAAAACCTCTATTGCTTTTATAATGCAAACTACATATATAAAAAACAATAGAATAAATGCAGTGGGTTATTGTGCACCAGGCTTGAGGAACTAATCATCAGCATTTAAAGGAATAGGATTGAAAGCATTAGCTTATTTGATTTAAAAAGATGGCGTTCTAATGATTACTTCATATTCACAAAGCAATACACAGACTGTATTCTGTACTACATTGTTTAAAGGATAATGCTTAGGTGCTATTAAAGCACAAAACAGTACCTTGAATACTCCTCAGTAGAGCTCAGAGGGTTTATATCTCTCATTTAAATTCACAGACTAAAAATCAACCCCGGTTCTGAGAAACATTTTCTCAGGGACCATATTAAATTCTTAGAAGTTCCTTTCCAAATTGAACTCTTAACAGTGCTAAAAAAGTCCAGAATAAGGTATCAGCATAAGAATGCTACCTGCTCCTCAATATTTCAAAATTGTTTGAGATTTTCTTTCTTTGAGTATTTTGTAATCTTTACTCCTTCATACACTCAATGTTGTCCAGCCAGAATCGACTCATCGCTGACTCTCCAGCAGGTTTTCAGAGGCCGTAAATTCCGCAGGAGGAGATTGTCCAGCTTTCTTCAGAGGTGCTCCTAGTGGATTTGAACCACCTGGCAGGCACAGCTTTTGGGTTAGGAACACAACTCCTTAGGGATGACTCCACCAGAGCTCCCTTCTGTAATCTGCATGTTCCAAATAAAAATATCTAACTTTTCCCTCTTCCTTCCTAGACCGTTAAAGGGAGGTGGGTTATATTACATTTCTTGCTTTATCTTTATAACAAAATCAGACCAGCAACCGTCTTTGTCTTTTTATCTCATTCATTCACTTATTGATTTATTAATTTGTGAGAATTCACATTGCGCTGTAGTTGGAAAATATACAAGTGACTCAAAACTAGCGTTAACTTCTACCAGCATTAAGCATCGTCCTTGCAAACTAGATATGCTTTTCAAAGTACCTGACCTTTGATGGCTACAAAAATAATATTTTCTTTCCACAATAATTGAGGTTTCAAATTGAGGAAGCGGCGGATTACCAATGAACCGACTGGAGGCGCTGGAGGGACTGGAAACTGTCCTCACTTACTGGAAGCCATTCCCTGTGAAGAGCCATCCTGTTATGAATGGAAAGCAGTGAGGCTTGGAGACTGTGAACCGGATAATGGGAAAGAGTGTGGTCCAGGCACACAAGTTCAAGAGGTTGTGTGTATCAACAGTGATGGTGAGACCCATAGAGCTATCATATTTTTGTAACTTTCGGTTTTCCCTACTTTTACCTTAAGTTACAATCTAGTATCTTATTTTCTCATAACTGGTTCTATTTACAAGCAGAAACACTGGCATATTTTGTTTTATTCTCCTTCCCTGAAGTTGTATTATTTATTTTTACAAGTGGAAGGTTTGTGACAACCCTGTGTTGACTAAGCTTTTGGTGCCCTTTTCTTTTCTTTCTTGGTTTTTGGTTTGGTTTTTTTGTGTTTGGTTTTTTTTTTTTCTTTAAATTTGTGATTTGAATGAAAGTTCACAAAGTAGTTCTTCAGAAGTATACACTTAGTGTCTCTGTGTTACATTTAGGTAACATGTAAAGTTTTTAAAATTTCTTTGCAATGCTGTTTTTTACACACTTAGTGTAACTTATATGCAATAAGAAACCAAAACATTCTTGTGAGTCACTTTATTACAATAACACTTTACTGTGGTGCTCTGGAATGGAACCCACAATAGCTTTGAGATCAAGTTGTATCTACGTCATTCTCTTCCCCAGGCATTTCTTTCTTCCCTCACTACAGTCCTTCCTCCTTCCCTTCTTTTCTTTCTTGAAATAATATGGATTATTTACATTAATAATACATAGTATATTCAATATCTTACACCACCAAAATCATTCAAAGGTGCCAAACCTTTATCAGTCCTTATTCTTCATCCACCTTTCACGTGTATCATATGAGATTATCATGGCTTGTATAGGCTACATATTAATCCTCAAAGAGATATATTTGCTTTTTTAGCATTTTAAAGGTGATTTCTTTGTTTCCTTGTGACAGATTTGCCCAATGCAGCATAGTGTTTGGTATCTTGACCACTGCTTTGACACCATTGACATTGATTGTGGGGTTTTTGATGTTGAAATTCTCTAACATAATTTGCTGAGTATTTCATGAGGAAACAATGTTTTTTCTTTCTTAATGGTGGCTGTAGAAGGAATTGAAGAAATACCATCTAACATTTTTAGAATTGAAAATAAGTAATGTAAAATAATAGATCATAATCAAAGAAAAAGTCAATTTAAAAAAGAACATAAAGATGTTCATTCCCTAAGTGATAATTTGTTATTTGCTATTAAAAATAAAGTAGAAATCAGAAGAATTTTAAGGGTAATGGAGATGATTCTAGAAGTCTTTGTTCCCCCTTTCAATATTGTATCTTAATTAAAATGTAACTGCTAGTTTCACATGCCAGGAGGCCTAACACAGCCTGAGTGTTCTTGGCCAGACTTCTCTTGCTCTGCCAGAAGCTGGCATTTGAGAAAGTTATCGTGTTGCTCAGGTTGTAGTTTTTCATACAATTCTTTTCCTGAATCGTATGATTTTATTTTGTGCTTTTGCAACAGATTTTTTGTTTTTTAATGTATTATGTTGGCTTATTATGTTTTCATATCTTTTGCATTTTACCCAAGAATAGTTTTGGGAGAACTGCACACTCCTCAGAAGTCCCTGAGTCACACCAAGGAACCAGACACCTCCCTTAGACAGAGTTTAAAATCTCTTGAGAACCCCCTTTGTACAACTCCAAACATCCAAATCCTATGACTCTGCACATCGACACACCATGAGCACCAAGCCCCAGGGTCGACTACTTGACAGTTTATGCTGTTTCCAGCATATGCAGAAGCACTCTGGTCCCCCTTAGGGGCATTGAAACATCTGTGAGCCATCATAATTACTTCCATGCTATTTTCCTCCAGCAAGCAGTATTGTTTCCTTCTGTGACTGAGTCATTGTTCGGTAGAGAAGGATACTCTTTGGGGTGAGAGCCTGACAGACACTGCTATCCACAAAAAATTAGCTTTGAACTTTGAAACATAGAGGGTTGGCTTTTGTCTGGGTCCAGGGTAGCCACTCAGGACACAAAACAAGTCAAATTTGAACCAGCACTTGAGATGGGTAGATGATTATAGCTTCATACACTTATAATAGACTTACATATTCTGCATTTTGTCTATGTAGATATAGTAGACTATGATATATCCTCTTTCTGGCTTTTCCTGGTTTTCTCTAAAGAGAAAGAGAGGAGAGAAAAAATAATATTTTGGGATTGGCAGTTATGGCCCCTATATAAAATCCTACTATGTTTTAGATGGAAACATTTTTTATGCAATTCTGTCATAATAATTGAGGTCATATTTATTTTAGTGCCATTGGTAACAACTTACTTATAGTGTTTCTTGATTTTTTTCCCACCTCAGTTCAAATTCTTTTTCTTGTCATAACATAGATCTAGTAAAGAAGTATTTTCAAGTGACGTAAATGTGAAATTGGAAAGAATAACTATGTGTTGAGTTCCTTTCTCTGCATTAGAAAAATCGGGACCATCTTCCTTCCCAGATTAAATTATTTCTTCCATATCTCCTTTCAAGGAAGGAGGTCCATCTGTTTGCGGATGTAAGCTTCTAATAAATCTATCATTACTATTTTACTCTCAAAAAATTATCACGGATTTAGTTTAGTCTTTCTGCATAAAAGGAAAAAATATAACCCAAATAATCACTTCCTGAATAGTCTTGTGAAGAACTGTAGAACAAGCTGAGGAATAGATTTGGTATATTTATGTGTATTGTAAGGGAATACGTTATTACTTAGAACATCTAATTACTAACTCATAGCAACATTAAAAGCTGGATTTATTTTGTATACTTCAAAGAGAATAAAAGGACCATGTGGCAGGTACTCAGGATACTATTGTCCTTTATCAGTACCCAAATCCCACTGATCTAAATTCTCTCTCATAGTTACCCTAGAGGACAGAATAGAATTATCCTATAGGGTTTCCACGCTGGTATATCGTTACAGAAACAGACTGCCATCTTTTTTTTCCCTGGTTTATCTGTAGTGCACTTTAAGGGGTTCAATTATAGGGGAGTTATTTAAAAATCAAGAAAATTCTTTATTATTTGCAAATTCAAGAGCCACCTGCTCAAATTTGTATCTAACTGAAACATCGTTGTGCTATTAGAGCAAAAGCTGAAGACCTGTAAATACTTCTCCGGTATTATCACCTGCTAAGTGTTTAGCAGCTGCACCAAAAGCTGTTTTGTAATTAAACTGTGCCCAGGGAATTAAAGTTGATTAGTTGAACAGACTCTACCCCTAGGCCTGGGCTGCAACTATAGATTTTGTTTTATAATTAAGTTAAAGATCAACTAGGGAAATGAAGAACTAGAGCTGGTGAATCTAGGAAATAATAAAGAGACTTTTATTCCCATATTCCTCACAAATTTCACAACGCTGTTGATGAACGCAAGACATTTTCAAGTCTCTCTTTTTTTCCTGAGATATCTTTATCCAGATGTCCAGAGGTGAACAGGATTGAGGGATGCTTTTATGTATTTTTCTCATTTTCTTCTAAGAAACTGGACCGGGCTTATTATTAGGTGCCACCAGGTTTAGCATGACTCAAAGCAGCCGTATGAACAGCAGATCTGAGCCTTGGCCCCTCCTGTGCCGTCTTGACAATCTCTGACACACTCAAGCCCATTGCTGCAGTCACTGTGTCAGTCCACCCTAGGTTGTAGTTACCAGTTTCTCTAACAGACAGGGGTATAATGGATTTGAAGGCCTAAAGGGAGCTCAGAAGACAATGAAAAACCCCCAGAAGATAGGTGAACTTTCTATGTGTAAGAGAAGATATTGCTCATGTTAAAAAAAAATCTTAGAATAGTAAGTTCAACTTTCTTTAGCATAAGTGCAGGATCTCATCTAAAGTTCATCAGGAAGAAGTCGGGAAAGGAAAGCCAAAAGATGGGACTCTAGGGTACTGGACCTAAAAAAACACTGAAAATATGTCCTTTTCCAGGTAAGAGTGAGGAAGTCCTGCTGTTAAGAAAACATTGAGAGGAATATTGGGGATCACTATCAGATTTTAAGCACTCATCTGTGCAATCTACACTAAACAATTTCACCACATTTCCGATTTTGCTTCCCTTTATGCCTGACATCTGTCTCTTTTCCAAACCTCACAGCAACCCCCTACATAATCGAAGTCTCTTCTCATATTAACAATTCCTGGCAGAGCCAAAGTGCCCAACAAGTAAGGTAACCACAGATTTACTTACACTTATTTACTAAGCTATAGCGAACCCTTTCAAATGTTTTTCAAAGATGAAGTTTTGTCTCACATACTGCAGGCATGATTCTGGGAGAGGCTATTCCTTAGAGAAGACATCAAGCTTGTAAAGGTGGAGGGTTGGAGAAAGAGAAGAAGACCCTCAACCAGATGGATTGACTCAGTAACTCCTTCAGTGGGCTTAAGTGTGTTAGGAAGTGTGAGTGAAGATGGTGCAGGATAGGATAGGATTCAGATCTGTTGTTCTCAGGGTCGTTCTGGGTCATACTCAACTCCACATCCACCAACGAAAACTCGCAAGTAGTTTGTGTCATACTTCATTTCATGTGTAGTATGTATTAGGAGAAAAATAAGTGTACATCATAAGCTTGAGGTAAATATAAAAACAAGCTCACTTCTCTCAAATCAATTCCAGATTATTGAGTATAACTTCCTCATAGTATACCCAAGGCTGTAATCTATACAGAAGCACACACCATAATGTGGTATCTATTTTATTTTACATCTATAGTGTTTTTTAAAAAGAACCACTCAGCTGCTAATTGAAAGGTTGACTTTTCAAATACAGCATACATCTCTAGAAGGGGGGGAGGGGGAAGATGTGACAATCAACTTCTCTGTCTGGAAAGAAACATTCTAGGAGTACAGAAGGATTACAAAGTTCAGTCATTGCTGTGTTCCCTTGAGTCAATTCTAGCTTATAAAGACAGTGTCTCATAAATTTTTCAGGATGTTTATCTTTACAGGAGAAAACTACCACATCTTTTGCTAATGAATGAGTTTAAATTGGTGATCTTTGGATTATTGTTGCTATGTGCCATTGAGTCACCTCCAACCCATAAAGACTCTATACAACAGCTGTAAACCCTACTCTATCCT